TTTTTAAAAACTTTTTTCTTTCCTCAAAATTCCGACAAATTGACAATGAATTTTCAAAGATATCCTCCACTTTTGCCTTTAAACCCTTTATAACTGAAATGAAGAGTGAATAACGGATCGATATAGCTGTTCTTCCTTTTTTATGGCACAACTGGCTGCACTTATATACAAGCTTATCTTTAAATCAGTCTGTAATATAGGTGTTCTTTGTTTAGACATGATAATCAAAGATTTCCTCCTTAGACTTCCTTAGTCTTCAAATCGATCTTGACTGTGATGAGCAATTTCATGCATTTAAGTCGAAAAATATGATTAGTATATGATATTATGTGTCAGATTAGTTTTAAGCTGACTTAACTCTACTGTTAATTCTAGAAACTAAAATAATCTGATGTCATAAAAAGTGGAATGCTTATAATTAAATATTTTAGGATATTCTCGAAATATTCTTTTACCAATCAAAACGTTTCTAGTTCAAAAAAACTAAATATCATTTTTACGAAAACAATTTTCATTTAAAATATGAAAAAAATAGATACATATTAGTGTCGAACTGGGGTATGTGTATTGTCTAACTTGCAAAGCTAGGGAATTTCTTGAAAACAAGCAAATGATTTAAGTTATTAATTACGCTAATGCTATCAATATTAAAGTGTTTAAACCAATCTAAGTTCTATTAATGCACATAATAGTTTGTTAGTAAACGACAATTTTATTTGAGTTTCAAACTTATGAATCGGAATGAGTTTGTGCGCAAATTATTTGCCTTAAAGTAACAAACAAATTAAAGGAGGAAAGAAATTCTCTACATTCTCTCTTAGGCTTGCTACCAGATTCCATTCTTGCTGCTCTCTTCTTCCTTAGATCATTAGCCATAGAGTAACAAATAAATTATAGCGAAAGCAAAAATACAAGTAGATAAATCTGATACCAGATTCTGTAGATAATACGAGTATAATATTCTTCTTCTTCAGATCATTAGCCATAGAGTAACAAATAAATTATAGCGAAAGAAAAGATAGATAAATCGAGTCTATTACTGTCTTGGGCAACCAGATTCTGTAGATAATAGGAGTATACTATTGTTTCATAAGTGCTGTCTTCTTCTTCTTCAGATTATTATTAAATTATAGCGAAAGAAAAGTTAGATAAATCGAGTTTTTTACTGTCTACCAGATTCTGTAAATATTATGTATATATTCTTCTATTCATGCTACACTCTACTCCAAAGTTCTTGTTTGGTGTCAGATCCCTTCTCATATAATCAAGATTAACAAAATATTGGATTGAGGTTTACGCTTTTGGTCGTCCTCCTAACTTGACAGCCCATTTTGAAGTACTACTTATATTAAGTATGGGGTTGGGAATGGAGTTCACTTGCATCTGAGTAGTAGACAAGAAAGAAAGGCAATAACTCTGCAATTTGTCACACAACCTTTCACCCACAAAGAGGGACAGAGGGACAGAGAAAGAGGGAGAGAGAGAGAGCGAAGCAGGTTGAGGGAGGGAGAGGGTAGTTGCTGTCAAAACATTTCGTGGAAATGTGTGAGGCAATTAAAAGCAAATTTGATTTGAAAATCAGCAAAGAAAACACAACCAACCTCCTCCTACACATATCGGCCGAGAAGAAAGAAGCCAAAGACGCTCTCTAAGTCAAAGCCGTGTCTGAGTCGGAGTCGGAGTCTGAGTCTGAATCCCAATCCCAGACGCAGTCGCAGTCTCAGTTGAAGATTGCAGTCGAGCCGAGGGTATTATCATTTAATGGCATAACATAATGAAATTGTATTTACACCAATACCTATATCTCATATCGGTTGTGTTCTGTGAGCATGTGTGTGTGTGTGTGTGTGGCTAAGCCCCTGATTTTGGCAGAGAGTTGGACTAAGCCAATGTTACGGCATTGTAAGCGAACCAGCCAGCCAGCTATACTCGTATGTGTTATAAGTCCAAGCCAAAAGGTGCAACAACTATGAAAACACACACAGGCACACACACACTCACTCACACACACACATGTACACACAATTATACACTCAACAATGCGCATTATTTCCAGTTTGTCACCTTTTCGTATTTCGAATGCTGGCAGCGCTGTCTGTGTCTTTGGTGCGGTGCGGGGTTTTTACGGCTGCACTTTGAAAACCAAAACACATGTTTAGTGAAATCGTTTGGAAAATCATGCATGCACACACACACACACACACACACACACACACACTTAGAACACACTCGCACACGACAGTTTTTCACAAATTTTAGTTTAATTGGGTTTGTCCATAATCGTTGCATCGAACCCTCGGCTTATCTCGGATAATGCTGTTTGCCAAATAAAAGTATTTTCCATTTCTATTTTTGTTATTTTATGTCATGCTATTTTTGTTTTTGTTCACAGCTCCCCCTCCGCCAATCCGCCACTGTTTCCTTTCTTCCCTTGCCCAGGCCCTTGCCCTTTCTCTTTCCATTTCCAATTCCAATTCCATTTTCATTGATGACGACGGCTTGGGCGACTGGTGGGCTGGGACTGGTTTTCCCAAGACTTTTCGCACAGGTTGACCAAAACGGGCATTTCTTCTCTTCGCATTTTTTTTATTATTATTATTATTATTATTTGTTTGACAGCAGGTCCCTGTGTTTTTCGCATTGTTCAGCCATCATTTTAATTGACAGGCCGTAGAAAGAAAATTTGAGTGCGCAAGTGTGGGTGTTTGTGTTTGTTCCTTAAGAGCCCAATTCAAACAAACAATTACAGAAATGCATTCGCAGATATATAGTAGCATGTATAAATAAATAAATACATATGCTGTTTGTGTAACTAAGCTCATGTTATTCCATTATTTATGCCCTTTTTTGTTTCTTTTTTTTAAGAACAGTATTTGCCAAGATCGTATAGTTTGAGGTAAGTAGGCACTAATTAGCAAGAGGGTTTCATATATGGTATACTTTTCATTTAGATGTAAAACAAAAACAATGCCAAGTCAAGGGAGGAATCAAAAAATACCAAATTCGAGCTATAGAGCGTTCAAATAGTTTTTATTTAAGTTCTGCAAACGGTAGTTTCAAATTAATTCAAATTGTTTCTAAAAGTCTAAAGCTCTACCAAGGCGCTATCTGCGGTAGAATTGATTTAAAAATAAGCCTGATATTTTAAGGGTGAGGCGACGTAGATTGATGTGATGTCTTGGTCCTGGCTATATTAAAAATGTGAATGTGTCAAGCAATTACTTAAAATTATTATATTTCTTGTATTCTCCTCTGAATAATTAGTCCATTATTGGACTACAGTTTAGGATAAGGACAAAATAATTAGTAATAGGATTTTAAAAGCACTTTTAGGAATCTCGATGGCTTAGCAGTAGAGGCAGGGTCTTTTTTTATATACCCGTAATAACTCTTTATAGATCAGTCAATTACTTAAAGCTGAAATTTGTTTTCTTTCAACAAGTTGCTATAAAACAGACCTAACAAGTTATTAAAGCAAAAAAGCTATACATAATGCGTTTAGTTGAGTTGGGGAAATCCATTTTAGTTATTTAACTAAAATATAAATATAAACTAAAATATAAATATGAAATGTGTTTGGCCAAACGGAATAAAATCGAGCAATTGCCTTAACGGATGGCATGGGAGATTATAAATGGTGTCACATACAACGAGGAGGTCAGAGCTTGGACTAATTGCCAGAGCAATTATGCTGTGGAAATTATCTGCCAAAAGCTTGACCTCTACTGTCAACAATGGAATTGGCCAATAGAAGAGGAAGAACAACGCCAGATTATACAATTAAATAAACATTCACTGGCAACTGTAGGGATAGGCGTTTCTATCCACACTATTGAGATGTGGAGTACGAGTAAATGCCACATAAAGGCAGCTAATACATAATAAACAATCTTGTAATCGATTCCGAAGCTTGTACCGCCCATGAATAAAAGTGTTAGATGCAACTACAACAACAAAGATCGGTACTTGAGAGGCATTCTAGATCTTGCCTGTCTTGCCGTACTCTCATCAAAGCCACAAAAGTTGTGCACTACTTGGTGAAGGGCATTAGTACCAGATGAAGGTCTGGATCTATTTGGCTATTATTAGAGCTCGATTGGGAGTTTTTATAGCTCAGATCTGTCATTATAAAAAACTGAATTTAGTGGAAGGGTGATAATCGGACTACACCTGTTTTTAAATAGGAAATATGAAGCTATCCTCTAAATTGCATTAAAAAAACTGGACACATCCTTAGTAAATCGTATTTGAAAATTGTTTCTTAATTAGCTCAATGGCTTTCAATTTTTATTTTTATAAAATAATATCAAAAATATCTAAATATATAAAAAAAAATTATGCCAACACTTTTTTAGGTTTGTAACCAAATAGATTGCTGCAAATGCAAATTTATAGCATAAACTTCTAGTGTTTTACAAATGATCACCTTTTCTTTTTGTCGTTATAAAACATTGCATTTAATGGAAGAATAATAATCGGTTGTCGGGCTTAATCGGGACTACAGTTTTTGTTAAAGAGGAAATATAAAGCTATGCACTAAATTGCATTAAAAAACCTGGACACATGCCTAGTAAATACTAAGTGAAAATTGTTTCTTAATTAGCTTAGTCTTTAGATTTGTTGTTTTTGTAAATGTTAAACAAATATATATATATATATACATATATATAAATAAAACATAGTACCTAATAGCGCTTAAAGCAAAACTATGTCAACACTTTTTCTACCTTTCTATCCAAATAGATTTATTCAAATGCAAATTTATAGCAAAACTTCTAGTGTTCTACAAATTGTTTAAAGCATGTATGTATTTATGGAAAAAAGAAAGAAAAAACCATTCACCCCTTTGCCGCCGGCACTACCAGCGGCGAAGTAAAAATTATTAATAGAGAAGGGAAAAAATGCGATATAGTTGTGTGTTCACACGCCGAACACGGCGAACATATGTTGGTTGTGAGGGCTTAGTGGTGGCCGAGGAAAAGGCTGTTTTTGATACTCACTCATAGACTTGTTTGTTGTATTCATAATCCTGCTGCATGCAATAATCCTGTTGGTACACATTATTTGTATAATAGCCGCAATCCTCGAAGTAACCGCAGCTTTGATTGTAATTGCTCATAATTGAAGCGGGTCCCCTGTCGACGGGTATGGGGGATCAGGAAAAAAAATAAGGATACTGTCGATGGAGAGGTGGAGAGATGGCGGATGGCGAATGGATACTCCTTGTACGCGCAAGTGAAGGCAACACTTGTTGTTGGCTCTTTCCTTCTGGATTTGTTTTCAATTATTTGCCATTAACTGTCATCACATTTAATTGATTGCTTCAACTAAGGCCGCCCGCAAATTATTTGTTTACCAATCGGTTTTTAATGCACGATCACTTTATAATTTGTATGCCCAGTTGGCGGCAATACCAATGGCAACAACACACCCAGTGGCCAATAGATAGAACTTCAATTACCGCCAATATGTGTGATTATAAGATCATTGAGTTGCGAGTGGCGTGGAATTGTGGATTGCGCGTCGCGTCGCGTAGCGGCTGCTTTGATTTAATTATTTATAATGCAGATGCCAAGTTTTTGATTCGCACACCGATTGCCACTCCAATGGACGTGACAATAGCGAGAGAAAGAGACAGAGCGAGCGAGAGGGAGGGAGAAAGGAAAAAAAATCACTGCATTTCAATCGCCAGCGATCGATTGCTTGACTCTCGCTTGAACTCGCACTAAAAACTTGGCCTGGAGTGTTTTCGTTGGTGGGAATTGAAAATGATTTGGAGTGGCGCTGGAGTGCTGGCCTGCTGGCGTGTGGGTTGCGCGCTTTTGACTGTTGGCTGCCGTTGCGATTTCAATAAGCCATAAAAATGCCAGAGCCGATTTACGCACACACACACACACACACACACTCACTCACACAGCCACACACACACATACACACACACAGTTGGACAATGTTGGGGCTAATGCGAGTAAAACAGGCAACAGATGCAGATACAGATACTTGTACTACCGATACTGATACTGATACTAACAATAGGTTGCAGATACGCATGCGTTCTCCTTATCTAACGCTATCTCGCTCTGTCCACTCCTCTGCTCTCTCACTCTGGCACACACACGCACACACACTCGCACGCACGACGCTGGCAACGATCGGCGCAGAAACAAAAAAAAACATCAAAACAAAAACAAAAAATGACGCGAATGACGCTTTTCTGCAATTTCTTCAGCCGTGTGTAATGCGTTCGAGGCTTTAAGTTGTATTGAACCAACGGCGGCGGTAAACGCCACATTCTGGCACCGGATCGGTCATACACCAACACGAATACACACTCACACACATACACACACACTCTGACACCTTAAATGCCACAACAATCGCTTATTAAAGTCAAATAGGTATTAAAAAAAAGCTGAGAAAAATAAAACTGAGTTAAACAAATAAAATAAAGTGTGAACGACGCGTTCACGTCGGACTCCGACTCCGACCTACCGATAATGTTTGCATGGGTGAGAACATACACATGTACATATGTGTGTCTGTTTGTGTGTGTGTGCTACAGATATCGACAAATGTATACATATATTTGTATATTGCGTCCAACGCGTCAGAGAGATATGTACGTTTAACGCTGATTCTAAGTCTGGGTTTTGCTTATGTTTGTTCTTGTACCCTTTTTCGATTTCGTTGCCCTGCTTGTTCCTGCCACAATATGCAACAGTGGTACTAAGTATGTTGATATTTATTCAAAAAAAAAAAAGAAAAAAAAAAAAAAAAACATCACCCAAACAAGGTATTCCAAATAAAAGGAACTGTTTTAAGAATTTCATCAAATAATCTGAAAAATAGGTTTGCCGATTTGTTATTTTTCAAATTCAAGCTAAGTACAAAAAGCTCTTGATTTGAGCTGAATAAAAACTGGACTTGAACTACTAATTGGATTTTTGTCAAGCCATAACCATAATTTAAATCTCGCTTAGAATATTTCAATATCTTTGGCAGATAATCAAACATCAATGATCATTGGCTGATGAAAAACGAACGAAGCAAACGCACAAATTAAAAGGAGTGTAAAGTTAAAGTCGTTCAAGCACGACTCCCGAATACCCTTCTCCCACCTTTTCCGACGCTACAGCTATGCAACTAAGAAAAAAAATTAATAAAATTTATAAGGTATATTGAGACGATAAATGAAGCTTTGGAATAACATGAGGCATAGACAAAACTCGTTAATACTAGATTTGCTTGAGTTACCTTCATAAAGCAAAAGTTGTCGTATTATAAGTGGTTTTTCCACGGTTTGTTTGCAATATTTTTCAACTTTTATTACACTTTTATTTTGGGTCATCATTTCCAAAAATAATTTCCAAGTGGTTTAAACGTTCCTTAACCCTTAATTCCGCATCTTTGGTAACAGGAAATAAGAAGAAGATATATAGTACTGAGGTATCAAAATCCAAAATTGATTGAACTGAATAGAATGTAATGTTCTTAATAATTTCGTATAGAGATAAGAGTAACAAGAAACACAGCGATCAGGCCGATATTGATAGAATCAATAGTTTTGAAGCGTACATAAAATGTAAAATGAGTTTTTAATTTTGAAATCAGTGAACATAAATATTTATACCCAAAGGGAAAAAGGGTATACCAGTTTTGTGCGAATGTATGTAACACACAAAAGGAGGCGTGCATATATATTCTATATCAGTACAAGTATGTCAAGGCGAGTCTATGTACTCATGTCCTACTGCCCGTCTGTATGAACGAAAGGATCTCAGAAAGTACAAGGGCTAGAATTATCAAACTTGGTATCCAGGTTCAACTAAACCCTAGGCAGGTCAAGTTTGTTTATTTTTTCTGATGCACTCCGCACTTCCCTGCTATTAGTGTTCTTTTGTAACTCCCATAGTTCTTGGAATTGTTAACATCCAGTTAATTTATTAAATTAATTGATTTTTTTTAGAATAATTTTTAAAATATATATTTTTGAATTATTTCCGTTATTTGTAGGAGTGGACTCTAGCAATCGTTTTTTGTTTCGCTTAAGCTGATCGATTTTGGGCCTTGCTTTGTTGGTAAGTAGAGAAATTATGATTATATTTGTATAAATACATTTTGAAGCTATGTATCATTTTTTTGTATTGCTATAAATATTTAATTGCGCCACTAATAGCTCTGACGAAAAGGATTAACAATCACAGATAAATAAGCATTATATTATAAATAAGCACTACAAGATATGCCATCGCTGCAAGTTAAAGACAGGATTTCGTGTTTCAAGTTTTAAGCGAAATATTAATTTGGATACTAATACTTTTAAATTGCTTAGATATTTTATTTAAAAGCAGAAAACATAATATTATTATTGTTGCCTAAAAGGAAAAAGGTTAATATTCTAAATGTTCACCCTTAAAACGTTCTCCCTCTTACCAATATATCTGTGAACACTGTGCGAAAATCCAAGTCCGTGTTCGCTTAAACCATTCAAATAAAGAACATCAATATGAACGGCCATTTGATTATCGGCCCAACTGATTGTACGGACGAGTATATGGCTTTCGGCTTCTACTTCAACTTCTGCTTCGATTTCTGCTTCTGTCAATTCAATTCAATTCGATTCGATTGGATTCGATTCAACGCAGTCCAGTGACTTTGTAAAATAATAATGCCCCACAATATTATTATTATGATGATGATTATTGCGGCGATTATGTGGCGCGTATGCGTGTGTTTTTTTTCTTTCTTTTTATTGACAAACAGTATCGGGATGGAAATCGAAATCGGGAGTTGTGCCATAAAACTCCCGTGGAGAACAGTGCACGGGCTATCGAGGTGCGTGCTCGAAACGCTCTTAGCTGCCACTGCCACTGCTTTATTTGTACAACTCGTTGTGATATCAATTGTGATATGAATGCCGTGATAATGTAAACGCTGTACAACCTACATACGACATCGAACTGGGGGGTGGGGTTTTGCGGAGACCTACGGGTATGGGTCCGGGTGCTAGTACGAGTATGGTTATGGTTATGTGTTCGGGGGTCTTGTTTATTTGACTTGCTACCTTCATACTCGTACATATTGAAATTTGTCCCGTGTTCGATCAGCGATTATGATTAGCCCCATGCTGGATCCAAATAAATACTGTTTGCTTCCGAAATGGGTTCATGCAGAGGTGATACTAGCGAGTATATACATACAATGTCATAAATATTACAAGCTGGCAAGTAGATCAAAAAATAGTACGATTTGTATAATTGAAATATTGCCCTAAATACTCCTATCAAAATGTTGAAATAAAGTATAGAATACATAATCTTATAGCTTAGCATAAAAGCCGTAATATAGAAGCCCCTCAAACACAAATTTTGTTAATACACGCAGAGCAAAAATTTTAGATTTTAAAGCAATTAAGAACAGTGCTAATTAATAGATAACCCATTATTTCTCAATTTCAGTACATTTTTCAATTCTTCTTTAGTGAATGCTCTGAAATAATTTAGTTTAATTTCTGGATTTGTTTCCTTTTACTATACATATTCCCTGTATCCGTAGGGTAAAAAGGGGTATTAAGTTTGTGCAAAGTTCATATGGATAGATAGAATAATTTCCGACCCCATAAAGTATATATATTCATAACCAGCATGAAGAGAGAAATCTATCCGTCTGTCCGTTTGGCTGTCCGTCTGGATGGACATCTGGATTTCAGAAACAGTTGATATATAGACGCTCCTAGTCCCTAAGCTAAACGAGTTTTTTTTTTGTTTTTTTTAATTTCCCTTCCCTCTCCCCGCTAAATGTTTTTTATCAATACTGTCCACATTTTAAAAGGTTCACACGTTATATATATGTAATATTTCTATTACATTTTGTTAAAAATCTCATCCAATTGGGTCAATTCTAAGAAAAGTTATTTGCGAAACAATTTTACACCAGTACTACAACGATAAACTGTAGCATCAAGTTCGCTCTTCTTCTTCTTCTCTTTGCTTCTGAATTTTGTATGGGTGCAGGGTATTTCATTGTCGGTCTTGCTCGACTGTAGCATTCTCTCTTGTTTTTATATTCAAAATCTATGTCGACTCTCTAGAAATGAAAATCAGCGTACTCCTGGGTGTAGGGTATTTGAAGGTCACGGCAAGACTTCACCGTTCCAGTTGTTGGAACTATTGAGTTGATTTATTGTAATCATAGTACGAGTAGTATTTGAAACATGATGTCATATTTTTTGGGTCCTCTTTTATACCCTGTACCCGTAGGGTAAAAAGGGTATATTAGGTTTGTGCAAAGTATGTAACATGCAGAAGGAAGCATCTCCGACCCCATAAAGTATATATATTCTTGATCAGCATGACAAGAGAAATCGATCTAGACATGTCCGTCCGTCTGTCCGCCCGTCTGGATGAACGCGAGGATCTCAGAAACTATATAAGCTAGAATAACCAAAGTTGGCATCCAGATTCTTCTATGTATTTTTTTTTCGCTCTTCTTCTTCCTCTTTTTGCTGCTGCTATGGGCGCATATAACTCAGTGACGGAAGTTTACCTGGGTACAGGGTATTACACTGTCGGGCTTGCTCGACTGTAGCGTTCTCTCTTGTTTCTATACCATAAAGTTTTTTCAATATATTGATACAAGTTGAAACGAATAATTGTACCTGAAATCTGCATCGGAACATATGAAAATATTATACATAAGCGGTCGTACTAATAGTGCTTATATGCTTCTAAGTATGATATATCTCCATGCATAACTAATTTGAACATTCTATTTGGCGATCCCTGCTCAGTGCCCTACAAAGAGACCGATGGTGGAGGTC